GGACATGGATGTGCCATGGGGCCAGCATGCTGTGGGCCTGGGCACGCCATGGGAATATGGATGTGCCATAGGGCCGGCACGCTGTGGGGCCAGGCACACCATGGGGCCATGGGGCCGCAGTGCTGCATCCCTGCTCCAGCATTCCCGCAGAGCGGGCAGGATCCGGCTCAAGGCCGGCAGCAGGAAGGAAGGAAGGAAGGAAGCAGAGTTATAATAAGCCAGGCCGGTGAGCAATGGGGGAGGCTGTGGCAGGAGCAGCTCCCGGGGCTGCTCATGGCACTGAGGAGCGCGGCCCCACGGCTGTCCCTGTTTTCCGCTGCGTGTCCCCGGAATGAGGAGCAGAGGGTCCCCATGCGCCCAGGGCCGGGGGGCTCATGGCTTTTCCCTCTCACTCGGTACCGTCTCTCACGGCTCTGCTCCCTTCTCCCGCCCAGCAGGATGGCTCTCGGCAGCGGGTTGGGCAGACGAAGAAGACGGTGAGCACCATGCCCAACGACCGCAAGATCAACAGTGCGGCCGCCTGCATCTCCTTCATGCTGGAGGGCTGCGAGCTCAAGAAGGTGCGCTCCAACTCCCGCATGTACAGCCGCTTCTTCGTGCTGGACTCCGACATGCGCTCCGTGCGCTGGGAGCCCTCCAAGAAGGACTCGGAGAAGGCCAAGATTGAGATCAAGTCGGTCAAGGAGGTGCGCGTGGGCAAGAAGACCCCCATCCTGCGCAGCAACGGCCTCTCCGACCAGTTCCCGGACGAGTGCGCCTTCTCCATCATCTACGGAGACAACTACGAGTCCCTGGACCTGGTGGCCAGCTCTGCCGACGTGGTGAGTGCCTGGGTGATGGGGCTGCGGTACCTGGTGTCCTACGGGAAACACACACCCGAAGCGCTGGGGACCGGCCACCCCAGCCTCCGGACCTCCTGGATCTCCTCTGTCTTCGACCTCGCCGACCTGGAGAAGTCTGGCCTCATCCCCGTGTCCCGGGCCGTGCAGCTCATCAAGGCCCTGAACCCGGGCATGAAGGCCTCCACCATCGAGCTGAAGTTCAAGGAGCTGCAGAAAGCGAGCGACCGCGTGGGCGCGGAGGTGGCCTGCGACCTCTTCGTGGAGGCCTATTGCGAGCTCTGCACGCGGCCCGAGATCTTCTTCCTGCTGGTGCAGTTCTCCAGCAACAAGGAGTACCTGGCCCTGAAGGACCTGCTGATGTTCCTGGAGGTGGAGCAGGGCATGGAGGGCGTCACGGAGGAGAAGTGCTGGGAGATCGTGAGCAAGTACGAGCCCTCCAAGGAGGGCCGCGAGAAGGGCTACCTGGCCATCGACGGCTTCACGCGCTACCTGCTCTCCTCCGAGTGCTCCATCTTCGACCCGCAGCACCGCACGGTGTGCCAGGACATGGCGCAGCCGCTCTCGCACTACTACATCAGCTCGGCGCACAGCGCCTGCCTGCTCGAGGACAACTTCTGGGGCCGCTCGGACATCGGCGGCTACGT